CCCCCCCTCGCCCTCAGATCCCCATTGATTCTGGGGCCTCCAGTTTGGGGGAAGGGGCTGCGGGGAGGGGCGGGGCAGCCTGCACCTTGATTCTGGGGCCTCCGAGGGCGCAAAGACCCTCCCTGCATGAGGAATGTGAGGTTACATTACACCACGGGGCTGGATTGGGGTGCTTCTGTATACTGCCCTCAGGAGCACACGCTGGAGTTTTTTACAAGTTTGCAGGGGACTCCCCAGAAGTAAGCAGAGGTGAGGCCCCAGCTGAGGCTGGAGGCTGGACCCTGCCTGAGGCAGAGGGTCGTCCAGTGGGCGGGGAGGGTGCATTCAGACGCCAGCCCAGGTCCCGATTTTCACAGGCGCGGCACATTCTGTCCACTGCCTGCGTGGGTCAGGTCGGTGGGACTGACCTCCAGCCCCTGGCTCCCCCTGGTGCCCTCCCTTCCCCTGGCCCAGCATGAAATGGAAACATCAACAGCTCCCTGTGCTGCTGTTACTGCCTGTGTCCCGCCCCCATGCCAGCGGTCAGGCAGGGCCCCCTCCGCTCCCCGGAGGCTGTGCTGGGGCCCCAGGAGCATGGAGTCCCAGCCCAGCCTCTTGGACAGTCCGCCAGCCCAGGGGCCTATGGTGCTTGCCCGGTGGCCAGAGCTGCAGGCGTGGACGGGCCTGCAGAGTGGTCTCTGTGGGCTGGCCTGGCTCAGGCGGGAGCGAGCCCAGAGGTGGCCAGCGCTCGCCCATGTTGTTGGCATTTATGAGGGCATCGCAGGAGAGGCGTGGGCGTGACAGGGGCCACAAGCTGCACAGGACTTGGGGTTGCCGGGGCTGATGGGGGCGTGGAGGGAGGGCTGGGATGACCCCAAAGCCCTTCATGGTCACGGAACTAAACTCTCTAAGAAGACTGAAAGCCTGCGGAGACCCTGGGCCACTCACACGTTGGGGTGCCCATCAGCAGGTCCCCCGGCTGTGGCTGTAGAGTGTCCTGCCGGCCCAGGGGTGGTGCCTGCAGCCCCTCACAGGGCTCCCCTGCGTCTGAGCAAGCTCGCAGGTGTGGGAGGAGGCCCTGGGCCCAGCTGCGCCTCGATGCTGACTGCTGACCCCACCTGCGGTCTGAGATAATGAGAAACCTGCCCTGAGGGGCAGCTGGCAGGAAGCCAGCCTGGCCAGCCTGCTGGACAACACCCCGCCCCGCCCTCCCCACCTTGGAGGCCACTGGGCTGCCTGCCCCTCAGCCCGGCCCCCCTCTCCCCACCCCCAGTCATTCCTGCCTGTGGGCCCACGCAGGCATCCACTGTAGACTCCCTCAGGTGGGGGGGCTGCCTGAGCACGGGGTCCCCTCACCCCCCTGGGTCTTGCCTTTGATGAAATGGCCCCTGCGTCACCCCTCCCCCAGCCCGCACACTGGGGATCCTGTTTCCTGGCCCAGTCCTGGCCCCAGGCCCTTGGCAGTGGCTGGGGGAAGGTGGGTCTGCTGGCCCCCCCCCCCGGGGTCCTCCTGCCCCCACCACTGCCAGGGGCTGGGCTGAGTGCACCCCCGGGCCCCCCCAGCCCTCCCCCAGGAGCCTGGGAGGCACACGCCCCCACCAGCAGGCCTGGGCTTCAAGCTGTCTCCCCGCTGCCTGGAAGGATGTTTCTCTCCGAGAAAAAGAAGTGTGTATGGGAAGGGGGGGCCGCCGCTGGGGCTCCCCACCCCTGCAGCCGCTGGTCCTCCCAGCCCCTCTCCTGGAGAGGTTCGCTGGAGTTGATAGTCTCCAGCTTGGTGGGGAGGGGAGCAGGAGACCTTCCCCGAGGCCCCCTGCCATGAGGGACAGGGGAGGGGCCGGCCTGTTTGGGGGGCTCACCCAGCAGGTGCTAAGGGTGGGGTTCCAGGACACAACCCCGACCGCAGGCCCCCCCCACCGGCCGGCACTGTCACAAGCCTCGGGTTACCCGTGAAGCCCCCCTTCCGGAGACTGGGTGAGAAGCGCCAGGCCGAAGAGGGCACGCAGGT